GTTGAAGAGGCTGTATTTCTTCCATTGTATGTCTTTGGCTCCTTTAAACTATTACATTTTAATAAAGCTATTTTACTTATTTATTTAGTTAGTTAGTTGGTCGTGGGTCTTGAACTCTAGGCTTAGGCACTGTCCCTCAGCTCTTCAGCTGAGGGCCAGCATTCTACCACTTGAGCCACAGGGCCACTTCCGGTTTTCTGGAAGGTAGGAGTCTCACGGACTTTCCTGCTTGGGCTGGCTTTGAACCACAATCGATCCTCAGATGTCAGGCCTCCTGAGTAGCTAGGATTATGGGCATGAGCCACTGGTGCCCAGCTAAAGCTATTTTAAAAATAAGAAATTTCTGATTTGATTGCATTATGTTCATGACCAACTACAAAGGAAATGGTCATCAATGTCCTTCATTCTAGGAAGCCAATAGGATCAGAGAAAATTTCAGGAAAAGCTTAGCCAAAAATTTATAAGCCCATACCAGATATCATCATTTATTTGGATTCAGAACTATTTTGGGTGCCAGGCACCGATGGCTTTTGGCTATAATCCTAGCTACTCAGGAGGCTGAGATCTGAGGATTGTGGTTCAAAGGATCGTGGTTCAAAGCTAGCTCAGGCAGGATAAGTCCGTGAGACTCTTATCTCCAATAAACCACTCAGAAAGCTAACCTTGAGCTGAAGAGCTCAAAGACAGCAACCAGGCCCAGAGTTCAAGCCCCAAGACCAACAACAAAAAACATAACAACAAAAAAAAAAAACTATTTTGGAGGAAGCAAGACAACTAGGTTTTAGCCTAATTTATGTTTCCTTTGATTATGCAAGGAAAAATAAGTCCAACACAGATTAACAAGATAATTGCTGGTATAAAAAGAAATTACCTCAAGGCAACAACAAAAGGAATGCAAAAATAGAATGAAAAGAGATAGAGAGACTGAAAATGCTATGTTGATGCTAGCAAAAAGCAGAAGAAATAAAGTCAATGACTTTACCTGTGGCAATTGTAACTTTCTCCTAAGAGAAGAGGAACACGAAGGAGCAATGTCTATGTACATCTGATCATACAAAATATTTATCAAAATGAACTCCAGGAAATGGAAAGAAGAGGTTTTTGTTGTTGTTGTTTTTATTTTCTTTGTGTTTGTTTCTTTATATGTCTTTGGGAGGGTCAGGGGAGGCACAGAAATGGAGGGACAAAGAGTGAACACATGCAGCAGTGGAATTCACTAGACACTGTGTTGAAAATGAATTATACAAACTCTAACCCCTCTGACATCAGCCTTACAATTGAATTAAATTTTAAAAAGAAAGAAAATGAACTACACAACTCGTGGGGAGGACCGGTGGGAAAAACTGGAAGAGAGCAAGGGATGGGGTGACATTGTTCAAAAAGAAATGTATGCTTTACCTGACTTATGTAATTGCAATCTCTCTGTATATCACCTTTATAATAAAAAAAAACCCTTTAAGGCAGGAAAAAATGTCCTAAGAGGATTAATAACCTCATAAACCCTTTTTAAAAAGCCCTACAACTTTCCACAAACTACTTTAGTTCTGTCCCATAAATTTTGTGGTTGTCGCTGGGCGCTGGTGGCTCACGCCTGTAATCATAGGTACTCAAGAAGCTGAGATCTGAGGATCACAGTTCAAAGCCAGCCCAGGCAGGAATGTCTGTGAGACTCTTATCTCCAATAAACCACTCAGGAAACCGGAAGTGGTGCTGTGGCTCCAGTGGTAGAGCACTTGCCTTGAGCTGAAGAGCTGAGGGACAGCGCCCAGACCCAGAGTTTAAGCCCCATGATCTCAAACAACAACAACATTGGGATTGTTTTCACTGTGACAGAGATCAGCATTCCCCTCTTTCCCCTCCCCCTGGTGTCTCTTGGAGGAGCATTGGATTCTTTTGAATAGAGCCATGACCATAGGGAACAGAGTAGAGAATGTGAACTATAACATTAGAGAGGCTTCACTCACTCCTAGGTTCCTGAAAATATAGGGTGGACATTTTCACATTCTTAGGCTCCTTGTCTGCCTCACCCTAGTCCCAGTCATACTTAGTGTCCTGTCTGATTTCTTAACTTTGGAAGATTTATATTTCATTGTACATTGTATCATTTTTATTTTCTTTTTCTCTTTTTTTCTGAGGCCAGGACTCAAATTTTGTACCTGGAGCTTTTGCTCATTGGTGGCACTAAACCAA